AAAACGATTGCTGATTCAAAGATGTGGGAGGTGAATCGTGAATATTATTATTATCGAATGCATGTGTTACTTTAGTATTTTTATCTTCATACTAGGAACAAAACGTTAATGTTAGCATAATTAGCGAGATGCACACTTTGGTAACGCCATGCTTTAGGACATTTACAAGAATCTTTTATTATCTTAATCTGCTCATTTATAGTCATTTACGTGACTGATTCACGCCTTCCGCGATACCGAGCGTTAAGAGATTCACTTCCGGTAATATTTATTACATGTCAACATAAGACACGTAGCTGTCACGATACATGATGGCGAATGACAGTTACTACTATCTGTGCTGCACTATCTATACGATTATCACAGTCACTTCTATGTAAAGACTTTTGAGCTATTCGACACGCGACAACGTAAACACATTTGCGACGATGATCAGTCAAGAGCTTTTTCGCGTCGAGAAACTCGGTCGTTAAGTTGTAGGATCGATTGTAAACAAGACGATATAATCAAGGTCACTGCAGGTCCTCCACGTGACAGGAACTCTATTGAATTGAGAAAAGAAGAATGAAAATGTCGGCATAAAAGAGAGAGAGAGAGAGAGAGAGGAAAGAACAGAGTATACGACTGAAAAAAAAACAATTATAATCAAATAGACAGACGAGAATAAATCAATTAAGAAAATAATCCCATTTTCGGTACAAAGCGAATCTTAATGCGGATCTGCTAAAGTATTTCAATGTGAATTTATATATATCTACATCCAATTCTACAAATTACGCGCCGAAATCTTCTTTCAGTCTTGAAACGCAATCACAAACAGAACTAAAGTAGTAATATCACATATTAAATTGATAAGCAATTTAATAATTTTAATGCTACATGGAGAGAATTTTTTCTTAGAATTTACTCTGAAAATATGACAGTCGTCAACATTGTATTTCAAGGAATTTTAATGTAAAATTCTCTTTCTCTCATTCATTAATAAAAACAATAAAGTATAAAATAAGTGTAATCAATTTTACTGAAGTGCATAGTAAAAACCTTTAAAATATTGTATTGTGCCACAATTATCATATTTTCAAAGTATACTAAAAAAAAATTCTCTCCGTATAATAAATATCTTATAAGAATCTTTTAAAAACTGTGAAATATTGAAAAAATGAATTAAATATACTCAAAATATATTTTTATCGATAATGCACACTTTTATTTCTCAAATTCTATAGATGTAATAATAGAAAAATCTTTTGTGTTAAATTCCTAATATTTTAAAAATATTAGGAAGCTATAAGATATTAAACATCTTTATATTTAAATAGCGTTGTGCGATTCAATATTTATTTTTTATTTCTTATTTAAAGCAT